TCTCCGCGATGAGGGGGGGGGAAGGTCTGAGCCTCCAGCGAAGCCCTACATGGGCCCGCGGCCCCGAGGGGGCAGCCGATCCCATGTAGATTTCGCGAGAGAGCTGCACCGCAGTGGCATCGCTACCTGTCGCCGGCAGCGCAGGGCGGAGCGCGCCCTGTTTTTCGTAGCCAAGAAGACGACAGCCCGCAGCTCATGGTCGATGCCCAGGTGGCGAATCTAAAATTCAAGGCGCCCCCTGGCGTGGCCCTCGCGACGGTTGAGAATATCGCGAGTGTCATGTGGGCCCCGGGGACTCTTTGTGCATGTCTCAGGGGGGCGTGTCTACTTGTTTATACAGGCTTGGCATGGATGGCCCTATGTGCGAGTTTTTCGGATTTCCTTCTATCGAAGCTGGAGGCTGGGGTGGATGCACTGGGCGGGGCCTCAATGGCCCCGGACGAGCATCTGTTCCCATGTCTTCGCGCATTACCATTGGGATTTTCATGGGGCCCGTTCTTCGCGCAGAGGGCCGCGCAGAATGCCGTCTACAAGGTGCCGCGCCTGACCCCCGAGAATGCCCTCGGGAACCGCTCCTGCAACGCCGCCTTCGGCTCAGAGGGCATGAAGCTCGCGCGTTACGTGTATGGCGATCACGTTGGGGTCTCGGGGCTGGGTTCGTTCGAGGTTCAGAGTGCCCGCGAGGCCGCGACCAAAACCCGGGGCCCCGCGGGCCTGGTTACACGCGAGCTTACTGATGCAGCCCATACCGACGAGGCGCTTGGAGTGGTCATCGACGGGGCACCACAGTCGCCTTCGAAGTGTTATCCGGTGGGCGCTCTGTAGGAAGAAGTTGAGCGGTGCGCAGTTGGGAATGCTCGCAGGCCACCTCACCGTCGCCTTCTTGATCCGCCGTTTGGGGGGCCACCTACCGATTCATCAAGTGTTGTTATGAGCATGAGAGAGAGAGAGAGAGAGAGAGAGAGAGAGAGAGAGAGAGAGAGTTGCGGCCAAGTGTTATTACCGAGATCGAGACCGCCTACCGTTTGCTGCCCTCATGCGTTGTTGAGCTCCGTCGCCGTGGTCTTCAGGTTTTTGCTTATTGCGCGCGCGACGGGGATGGGTGTTGTCCAGGCTCGTTGGGAGGAACGTCGGGTACAACAGGTGGGGAGGTTGGCGGAGCATTTCATGTTCAGATATGTGGGTCTCGGGGGGCAGCGCGAGCGGGCCCTGGGCACTGCCTTCCTTGACCCCTTCTCGGATCCTGTCACGGCGATCGGATCGGCCACCTCGGGGTGCGAGCAATGGGAGGAGGACCCCAACTGCCAGGACGTTCCAGGTGCCTGGATTCGGGAGTCGGTCTGGGATCACGTCTATAGCGGGAGGTTTCGGAGGCCTGGGGGCGACGCGCGTGAAAGGGTGCCGCGCTTCGTTGTGGTCGTTGAGACGCTTCTGTCAATCTCGTGCTGGGCGGGCCGTCAAACATTTCCAACTCGGCCGCAATATCAGTGCCATCTTGGGTCACTCCAAGGGACGCGCGACCAGTTGGCAGTTACTAACCTTGCGTCGGCGGCGATGTGCACTCCAGTTGGGGCGACGACTCGTCTCGATTGACCGCTGGATTCCGTCGGAGCTCAACCCAGCGGACGCGGCCAGCAGGGTGTTCGAACCGAGCCGGCATGCGAGAGGCGAGGAGACTGACGGCCAGCTCGCTCGCCCTAGTGGAGCCAGCGTCGACGACGGGGACCAAGGCCCAGCTCCTGAGGAGACCCGCAGGTTTTTCAGTCCACCGCCTGGTCTCGAGGCCCCAGCAGCTGCTCCCGCGGCCAGAGCCAGCGGGGACCCCCGCGGATCCCGCGGCGCGCCAGGCGCGCGCGGACGAGCTGCGCCGTTGGCTGACGTGCTTCGCCGAGGGCCTCGAGCGCGACGAGAGCTTCCCGGCGCGGGGCGCGGCGACAGGGGGCACCTTCAAGCAGCGCGCCGACCGCGTCAAGAAGTTCAAGGACTTCAGCGGGGTCAGGAGCTGGACCGAGCAGAGCGACCAGGACCTAGATGCGCTCGCTGTCGCCAACCTGGAGGACACGTTCCTGGAGGGGGCGGCCAGCCACGCCTGGAGCTACCTACTGGTGGCCTTCGAGGCCTTCCTCCCAGCGCTGGGCCGACGCGGGGAGCGCCTGCTCCCGCGGGCCCGCCGAGCCCTGGTGGGGTGGCAGCGGCTCGCGGCCCCCCCATGCGCGGGCGGTGGTGCGCGGGCTAGCGGCGCGGCTGCTGCAGAGAGGGCTGGGCAAGATGGGCCTCTGGCGCATCGTGAGCCTGCGCCTGTACCTCCGACCGGGCGAGAGCCTCGCGCTGAGGGGGGTGGACTTCTTCCCGCCAACAGGGAGAAGCTCTCCACGCTGGTCCGTCCTCCTTCGTCCTCGGGAGCTCGGGGCGCCGACCGAGTCCCAGGATTTCGACGATTCCCTTGCACGGGGCGTCCCGGAGCTGCAGTGGGCGACGAAGTACTTCGAGGAGTGGCGCGCGGCTGGGGGCGCCAAGGCGTGGACCTTCGACAGCAGCGACCCGGCCAAGGAGGTCCGCCACGCGGCGGAGTCCCCGGGCGTCGAGGATCTGGCGCCGCACTCCATGAGACACGCGGGGGCCTCGTGGGACGTCGAGGTCCAGCGTGGGGGCCTCGACGAAGCGCAGAAGAGAGGCCGCCGGAGGCCCCGCCGCAGCGCGGCCCGCTACGAGAAGGCAGGACAGGCGTCGAAGGGCCCCCTCAAGCTTCGCCCAGAGGTGCGGGGAAAATGCAGTGGTGCGAGATGAACCTCGAGCAGGTGTTCAACGGCGCCATGGTCGGGCCATGGTGATGCTCGATCTGTTTGCTGGAGTCGCCCGGGCGTCGAGGGCCTTCGCCGCTCTCGGCCGGCAGGCGCGCGCCTGTGACATCAGAGAGTGCCCGGCCTTTGCCATCATCAACCCACAGGTTGTCAGTAGGCTGCTCTGGAAGATCCGCCTTGCCTATCTTGATTGCGATGATGGCGCCACTTTGCGCGACCTGCAGCATAGCTCGCCACCCGGCCTTGAGGTCCGCCAGCTGCCCGTGGGGCATCCCTGCAAGTGTTGCTCACCCTCAGCTGCTGGCGGCTAACTCTGTAGCGCGGGCTACGCTGAGAATAATTCGCCTCCGCTGGGCGACAGGTCCCCTTCGCCTTGGAGAATCCTCGGACTCGTGCGTTTTGGAAACTGCCGGAGATCTCGCATCTGACATCGCGGAGAGATAGTGCCATGATCGTTACTGACATGTACAATGTGGGGGTACCTGAAAAGAACACAAAAAAACGCCCGTCTTGTTCGCCTTTTTCGCCAAAGAAGATTGCCCTCTTCCTGGCGTCCGCATTGCATGATCAATGTGAATATAATCGCTCACGCAGGTCACATATCTTGGGCGCGGGTGGAGCTGGCCAGCCTGGCGATTGTTTCCGTCTTTTACACACTGGTACTTCTCGGCACGTGGCTGCCCGTCGTCATACAGAAGGATCTCTTGCCCCAGCCGGGGAACAGAGATCGCGCTGGCGCGCGCGCGCGTGAGTGATCGGCTTTCCCAGCGAGTTGGCGCACAGAACGGAAGGACTCTGGCGCGGCCATGCGTCCGCAAGCGCCGTTGCTCAGGCCCGCCCTGCACCCACCGCCCGCCCCCAACAGCCCCCCAGCTGCTTTGTCTTCAAGGCTTCGCTTGCTCACTACCTTTAATAGTTTCCATCCCCACTCTCGTGGGTGGAGCTGGCCAGCCTGGCGATTGACTCCATCTTTTACACACTGGCATTTTTCGGCGTGTTGCTGCCCGTTGTCAAACGGATTTCCCGCCCCAGTCGGAAAATATATCATAGTTTTGAAAACAGCCGTTCTCACATCGTCATGATATCGTTTTTGCAAAAAAAAAAAGGCTTCTAGGTGGCCCGAGCCAGGCTTCTAAAACGTAGGATTTCCTCGGGACATATTCAAACTGGCATGTTTCTGGATGGCATCGAGGCAGCCCCAAACGAGCCCCAAACGAGGCGCAACATCACCCCCGAAGCGCCCTCGAGGTTCCTCAAATTTAGCATTTCGTTCGAGGCACCCTCACCAGCATGAGTTGTTCGCAACACCGTCTTTCACAACAACAAGCATTTCGCTTGCGACATCCACCAGAAGATGAAGACCACGAATTTAACAAACGTGTGGAAATTGGAATATCGCCTGAGACATCCTCAAACCAATGAGATACTGAAACGGCTGTTTAAAGACCATGCGTGTTAACACGTACCTTTTCGCCTGAGGCATCTTCAGACACACGCGCACACACACACACAGAGGCACTACACGTTCACGCAGACCGCAGGAGCACGGCAGAGCAGCACGGCATAACGCAACAGCGCCGCAGACCACCACGCACGGACACTCATGTATCTATTCCACGCACGCACGCGCACGCGCAAACGCACGCACGCCACGACATATCTGCGCGGCAGACCGACAAAAAGGCATGCTTCGCATACCTACTGGACAAAAGCGACGCTTCCCGTTCTTGCTTGGTCTGGTTTTCGAAATCCCGTACTCGATGCGCACTATCGAGCGCCAGCGTGATGAGAAAACGCCGATTTGGCGTCGATTCAGCGTCGATTGGCCTCGGTTGGAGTCGACCAGCGTCGGTTGGCGTCGGTTCGCAGATCGAAAAGATAATTCAGCCTCGGTTGGCGCCGACGGATCGTCGATTCGTATCGATTGGCCTCGGTTCGAGTCGACCAGCGTCGAACAGCGTCGATCCGCAAGAGCGAGCAAGATATCAGTCGCGCGCAGAAGGGGGTTGGGGGAGGGGGGAAGGCTTCTTAGAAGCACCCCTGCTTCTTAGAAGGCGCGTGCCTTGTCTATAGATGTAAGGCCAGCGCCTTCTAAGAAGCAGCCTCCTTCTAGGAAGCCCTCCCCCCTCCCTACACCCACTGGTGCGCGCCGCCAAAGACAGCAAGATGGCATGAGCGGCTCTCACGGGTTGCCACTGAAGGAGAGCAACCTGATGCACGGCATCAACGGCATGATGTACGCCAACCTGCGGGGCCTGGACGCCATCGGAGAAGAAAACGAGGGGGCCATGTGGCGGTACGTTCCTTTCCTCCTCCTCCTCCTCCTCCTCCTCCTCCTCCTCCTCCTCCCTCCTCCTCCCTCCTCCTCCCTCCTCCTCCCTCCTCCTCCTCCCTCCTCCCTCCTCCTCCTCCCTCCTCCTCCCTCCTCCTTACGTGGCGTGGGGAAGGGTCAATCTGGTGAACTTCATGTATAAAACACCCCTCTCGGGCAGCGGAGCTGGGGAAGGGTCTTGACATGTTTCTCAGTGGGGGGTCGAGCTTATGCGTCGGCCCCTGCTGCAGAGCCCAGAGAGGGGGCCACATGCGAACCATGCCGCATGCGAAGTGAACCCCGCCCTCCCCCTCAGAGATCCTCGGGGGTAGGGCTAGGGTTCGCACGTGGCCCCCCACCAGATCTGCCGGGAAAAAGAGTGGTGCCTCAGCAGGGCCCCTTTTGCGAGAAAGCACGCCCTGGGCACCAACGCCCGGAGCTCCGCGCGAATCTCTCCTGGGTCGGCGCAGGCGCCGCCCCTGGCGCGCCCAGGGGGCCCGGAGGGGCTCCAGCGCGGATCGAAGAGATCCGCGCGATTGAGGAACTGGCCGTTTTCGGTTCGCGAGAGGGCGTCGCGGCCGTCATTTTTGCGGGTCCGGGTCCGTCGATTTCGGTCCCAGGCCGTTTTCACTGAGGGGAGGTCTACCAAAGGGAGGTTTGTCCACCGCCGAGAGTTATGTGTATGCAGCTGTGTTCTCCTATGTCAGAGTCGGAAGACCCTCAGATCCCGGCGTTGCAATGCTTTTTGCTACGGGCGTTTTCGCTCCACTTCGGGCCCAGGGACCCTCGCGGAGCGGTCCAGCTCGAAGAATGGCGCGGACAGACGGGGTGCAGGGCTTCGGTCGTGATTTGCTGCGATGTCGCAATGTTTTGGCGACGTCGGATCTCGGGGGCGCGCATCAAGAAACCATATGCTTTTCGTCAGGGTATCCTGGGTTTCTTCGCTCCGCGCGCTGCGCGGCGACTTCCCCGGCCGTTGAAGGAGCTGCTGCATTCAGAGTGCTCCAGGTTTCCCCTCCGGTGCACTTCGCGCGCGGGTTGGGAGGAGGAGGGAGGAGGAGGGAGGAGGAAGGAGCAGGAGCGAGGAGGAGGGAGGAGGAGGGAGGAGGAGCGAGGAGGAGGGAGAAGAGGGAAGCGAAGGAGGAGGGAGGAGGAGGAGGAGGGGAGGAGTAGGAGGGTTTTTGGTTTTCTTGCGAGGGTTTCTTGCAGCCGCGCTCGCACTGTGCGTCAGAGTCGGACGAAGGTCCCGGTGCCGCACCCCGTCCCTCGCCGCCACGGCCGGATTCGCCCGGAGGTGTTGGTCGGAGCACGCCCCAGGAGGGGTCTGGGGAGCACGGGTATCGCTCTTCCTCCTCCTCCTCCACCATGCTCCTTCCTATCCCCGCCTGCCTCCTCCTCCTCCTCCTCCTCCTCCTCCTCCTCCTCCTTCCTCCTCCTTCCTCCTCTCCCTCCCTCCTCCCCCCTCCCTCCCTCCTCCATCCGCCTCCTGCGCCTCCAACCTCCTCCCCCTCCCTCCACAACCTCCTCCTCCTCCTCCTCCTCCCCTCCTCCTCCTCCTCCTCCTCCTCCTCCTCCTCCTCCTCCACCTCCACCTCCTCTCCTCCTCCTCCTTTCCCTCCCCTACCTCCTCACTCCTGCTCCTCCTCCTCCTCCCCCACCCTACCTCCTCCTCCTTCGTGGCAGCGAGCCTCTCTTACGGGGCCACCTCGGAGCTCAGCCCTCGAGCAAGGTGGTATGCCCCCTGCTGGCCCTAGCGAGAAGGCAGGGCTGTTGCACAACCAATCGCAGGGGATTGGGGCAGAAGTGCGTAAGACACAACCGTAGGTGTTTTGACGTTGCACCCCCTTATGCGGATGTCTTGTCCTCCTCCTCCTCCTCCTCCTCCTCGTCCCCTCCTCCTGCTCCTCATTCTTCCTCTTCTCTACCTCCTCCTCCTCCTCCTCCTCCTCCTCCTCCTCCTCCTCCTCCTCCTCCTCCTCCACCCTTCCTTCTCCTCATTCTCTTCCTCGTCCCCCTCCTCCCCCTCCTCCTCCTCATTCTCTTCCTCGTCCCCCTCCTCCCCCTCCTCCTCCTCCTCCTCCTCGCCCTCCCTCCCCCTGGGTTCCCCGAGGATGCGGAGGCGGAGACGCAGATCCGCTGGTACCTGCTGGGCCTCGGCACCGAGGTGGACATGCACAGCGTGCACTGGCACGGGCACACAGTGCGCTTCGGTGGGCACACCGTCGACGTCGTCCAGGACATGCCGGCGACGGGCGTCACTGCGGACATGTACGCGGACCACGTCGGCAGGTGGCTGATGCACTGCCACGTGAACGACCACATCGAGGGGGGGATGATCGCCGCGTACGAGATCGTGGCGAACGCTGCGCGCGGCGAGGCGCAGATCTC